CCCGGCCTGTACACATTTTTTGAATAGGTAATGCTGTCCTAGATTCAGTGTCGGAGAAACAAATTCTTCATGATACTCACTCTTCGGAGGGTTTCTTTTCACGGCCCGTTCTTGTTTCACAGGTACCTTCGCTGCTTCCTGCCTGCCTGTCGTCATCGCCATCATTGTTCTTTTGGAACTCAGGACCACTTCAATCTCCAAGAGAACTGATTCTCATGTTGGAATTCTCTCTAACCAATCTGTTCAGAATACTTTGATATGAATGAATGGCCTCCCAGGGTGGGCCAGTTCAGAAAAGGCTGACCAAAGAAGTGAAGTTACCCTGGAACTCAGAACAGGGGAAGATGTTGCAGGCTTGGGACAGTGTCTTCAATTTAAAGGGTTGTGATGTGAAAGAGAGAATATGTTTTTTCTTATGGATAGAGGTAGATTTACGGTGAAGATAATCTGATTTAAGCTTTAGGGCTATGTGTGGCCTCCTTCCAAGACCCTGTACCTAATTTTGAATCTTTAAATTGGTGTTATTTCAGCTAAAGACCTCCTCTTCCACCACTGAATTATAGTATATGAGTTTCACAAAAACTGGAGATAGCCCCTTCTATGTGGAACCAGAGAGCAAACCAGGATCTAAGAGAGAACTGAAAATCTCAGATGAAGGTTTTCCTTCAATATATTAGTTCAATACAAGAAGATCTTTCCATGGGCCAAGACGATGCCACCAGGAAGTGGGCTGTGTGGTAGGCACCTTCTATAGCTACTCACAGTTAACTGTCTCAGCAACATCCCCTCTTTGAGGCTAATAGAATTTGGATTTGTTCAAAAAGCTAAAGAGAGCCCTTGATCCCCAGCTCCCAAGGGTGAATTCTGATTGGTCTAAGCCAGGCATGGTATTCTCTTTCCCTCTGGCCTTTAATTGTTCTAAATAAGGGCAGGTACTGGAGTTCTGTCCAGACACGGGGGTGCTGGTACTTTCTTCTCTGAATTAAAAGACAGGCTTCAAGTAGAGGTCTTTCCCCCCTTCCCTTTCATTCCTGAAACTCAAGAGAGCTGGAGATAAGGGCTAGAAGCATGAAAACCAAAGTCGACATGCTCAGGGGGGCAGAGCAGAAATGGTAGAGGGGTTCAGGATCCTTACAGCATTGTGGAGGAGCGGAACCAGTACTAACGGCACCTACCTCTAGATGACTTACGTGACAAAAATAAACTCCTTACATGTTCAAATAACAGTTAGTTAAAATTTCCCATTACTTCAAGCCAAATGCATTTTTTACTTGATACAGCTATATTTAAGGAGAAGGCTTTCTCTTTCTCTGGTGGAAGTCAATTTTCAGGTGAATTTATCACAAAACTATGTCGCAGAGGGTCTCTATGTCTGGGAGAGAGGATCTGGAAAGGCAATGACTTACTGGGAATACTTTCACATAAGTAAGAGTATGAACAACTTTCTATAACTTGGGTCCTTATGTTTCATCCTCTCTTTCTCAAGTCTTCGCATTTCCTTTAGCCTGTCACCATCTTTCTCAACTTATTTCTCTGACCTCAGCCACAGCCTCCTTCAATTCCACCTTTGATAGGGGATAGAAAAACAGATTGAGCAGGAAGGGTAAAAAGGACGCAGTTTCTCAAAACTGGTATGCTTTCCAGCAATCTAGGAAAATAAGATATGTTTGTAAGTATTGACAGAATGCGCTTCCATTTCTGATGTGTAATCAGATAAACCAGAACTTTTCAAATGAGTAAACATCAGGTGACCGTGGAGGGAGACCGTCGGGCTGGGCTGAGGGACGGCACTGAAGACCCTGCAGTTTACACACTGGCTAATTAGACCCTTGGGAAGAAGGAATGCTTTTCAGGGGTACAAGTTTCACTCCCATCACCCAGGCTGGAGTGCAGCACAGAGGTATCAGCTCACTGCAACCTCCACTTCTTGAATTCAAGCGATTCTCCTGCCTCAGCCTCCTGAGAAGTTGGGACTACAGGTATAGGCCACTGCACCTGGCTAATTTTTGTATTTTTAGTAGAGACGGATTTTATGGTGTTGTTCAGGCCAGTCTCCAACTCCTGAGCTCAAACTCTTGAACCTCAGGCTCCTAAAGTGCTGGGATTACAGGTGTCCAGGTGATATTTTTTTTTTTTTTTTTTTTTTTTTTTTTTTTTTTTTTGAGACGGAGTTTCGCACTTGTTACCCAGGCTGGAGTGCAATGGCGCGATCTCGGCTCACTGCAACCTCCGCCTCCTGGGTTCAAGCAATTCTCCTGCCTCAGCCTCCTGAGTAGCTGGGATTACAGGCACGCGCCACCATGCCCAGCTAATTTTTTTTGTATTTTTAGTAGAGACGGGGTTTCACCATGTTGACCTGGATGGTCTCGATCTCTTGACCTCGTGATCCACCCGCCTCGGCCTCCCAAAGTGCTGGGATTACAGGCTTGAGCCACCGCGCCCGGCCCACACAGGTGATATTTTTAAAAGACCCTTTTTTTTTTTTTTTTTTTTCTTCAGTCTCACTTTGTCACCTAGGCTGGAGTGCAATGGTACAAGCTCAGCTTACTGCAGCCTCCATCTCCTGAGTTCAAACGATTCTCCTGCCTCAGCCTCCCGAGTAGCTGGGATTACAAGCACGTGCCACCACACCTAGCTAATTTTTGTATTTTTTAGAGATGGGGTTTCACCATGTTGGCCAGGCTGGTCTCGATCTACTGACCTCAAGTGATCCTCCTGCCTCGGCCTCCCAAAGTGCTGGGATTACAGACATGAGCAACTGCACTCAGTCTAAAGGACTTTATTATGAAAAATTAAAAACTGGTATATAAGATAGTAGTTGAGTATCCCCATCACCCAGCCTCAGTTTATGGCCCATTCTTGTTGGATCTATACATTTCCTTTTTTTTTTAATTGAGGTAAAGATGCAAGCTGAGCACCAACAATTCCTCCCATCCCTGAACATCCATGCTGCTCCTCTCATGAAGAATGATGAAAATAGTCTACAATTAGATTATGGTTGTGGTTGTACAACTCTGTGCAAATGCCCAAAGCCATGGAAGTGTACATGTTAAGTGGATGAATTATATCTCAATAAAGATGTTTTTAAAAGGTGGAGAAGGAAAATTTCTCTATTTTAGTAATACTTAAAGAAAAAGAAACTCCTTGAAACTGGTCTGGCTCTGTGATTTGCTTAAACCAGTAACAGGCAGCAGAAGGGACACTCTGTGACTTCTGGGCATAGCCCTTCATAGGCCTCGGAGCTTCTGTTTTCACTCTTTTTTTTGAGATGGACTCTCACTCTGTCGCCAGGCTGGAGTGCAGTGGTGGGATTTCAGCTCACTGCAACCTCCACCTCCCAGGTTCAAGTGATTCTCCTGCCTCAGCCTCTTGAGTAGCTGGGATTATAGGCATGTGCCACCATGCCCAGCTAATTTTTGTATTTTTAGTAGAGAACGGGGTTTCACCATGTTGGCCAAGATGGTCTTGATCTCTTAACCTTGTGATCTGCCTGCCTTGGCCTCCCAAAGTGCTGGGATTACAGGTGTGAGCCACTATGCCCGGCCCCCTGTTTTCACTCTTTTGCCACACCAACTACCCTGCCAGAGAGTGGATCAGGCAGAACTTAGCTGTTCTTTTCAGCCACCCAGCAGAGATGCCACACAGACCAGTGAAACACCACCTTGGCAGCTCTAACACCTGTTGAGCTGCCCAGTCAACACCACACGGGGCAGAGAGGAGCAACCAAGCCTGACTACTACGTTTTTGAGTGGTGGAGGAGTGGCCAGTGCCAAATCCCCAGAGGAGGCTCAATGAGTATTTTCTCTTCTCATTTCAGCCAGCAGAGGGTCCTCAAGGTAACACCTTCCTGCAGCTCCCCCACAGACCTCAGAGCTCTGGCCAGGGCCCACGAGGCCCTCCATCTTACCCCTTTTCTCCTTGACTGTCACCTCCTCCTCCCCTTGCTTCCTTACGTCTAGCCACTCTGGCCTACCTTGAACAGACAGGCCTGTCCCCTTTCAGGGCCTTTGCCCTTGCTGTTCCCTTTGGTTTTTCTCAGATGGCCACACGGGTCCTCCCACACCTCTTCTGGGTCTTCACTCACATGCCACCTTCTTATTGAGACCTGTCTAAAATCACAAACCCTCACTCTCTGTCCTTATTCCCGACTTTTACTTTTCTCTTTAGCATTTACCATGTCTAACAGTATTTAATTTCACTAATTTATCTTGTTTATTTTCCGTCTCTCCTGTTATAATGTAAATTCCAAGAAGGATTTTTATCTGTCTTGGTTGTCTATCTCGTGTCTAGAACACAGAACCCATAGTAGGCACTTCAATTACTTACTTGTAAAATGAAGGGACTGAATGTCACCTTGTTACAGAGTACCCTCCTGACCACACTCTGTTAAGTAGAGACGGGGGTTTCACTAGGTTGGTCAGGCTGGTCTTGAACTCCTGACCTCGTGATCCGCCCGCCTCGGCCTCCCACAGTGCTGGGATTAGCAATCTCTTACTTCTCTTTCCCAGTTGTATTTTTCTTCATTTACACTTAATCACCTTTTGACACCTGTTTGTTTACTGTCTCTCTCCCCGGTAGTGAAAGTTACTTTAACAGCAGAGATTTAAATTTATTTTAATCCCTACAAAGGAGAAAAAGGGAGGAGATCCATGGCAGGCTATGAGCAAGTATTTGCAGAAGGAATTAATTTCTTGAACGAATGCATGAATCAATCTAGCAGCCTGCTCCACCAGCCTCCTTCGTGATAGGATCCACGTGGGGTCTCTCCGCGGGCGTGCAGAGGGCCGCAGCCGGAGCCGGGTTTCCGAGCAGGCGCTGGGTTTCGGCAGTGCGGCGTTAAACCAGCGGCGGACGCCCGGCTGCGGGCGCTAGCTCCAGTCCGACCGGGCTCGGCGTCGCCGGTTTTTCCCCAGCGGCCGCGCCGGCCAGTTTCCGGGGCGGTGTCATCGCCCGTTTAAGAGCGGAGCGTCCCGCCCCGGGGGCGGAGCTGAGAAGTAGGTTTAAGGGGCGGACGGGCGGGAGGCCGGGGTCCTCCGGGGATTAGAGCTGGTGGGCTCGCCGCGGGCGCCATTTCTTGGCGTCTCCCGAGGAGCCGCCCCCTCCTCAGCCTTGCTCGGCTGTTCTCCCCGCTGGTCGCCGGGGCCGCGCCGGCCACCGCTCAGGTAAGCGCGAGGCCCGGCGGCGCCGCCGTGCAGCCCGCCGCCCTCCCAGCCAAGCGGACCCCTTCTCGCCCGCGCCTGAGGTGGCGGCCTTGTCCCCGGGGACCCTAGGGCGGCGGGCCCCTGGCTGGTCTGGCTGGCAGGGCATTGATCCCGCCGGAGGGAGGGGCGGCGGCGGCCAATGAGGCAGGGCTGGCGAGTTTCAGGCGATACTGCGCGGCGGGCGGGAGCGGAGGGCCCGGGGCGGCCGGGTTAATGTTTGCCCGGCGGACGCGCTCCCCGGGCCGCGGGCGCCCCGCACGGGTCCGCGGGGCTGCCGTCCCGCGGGAGAGAGGAACTGAGTTTGCGTCACGGTCTTGGTGGACTTCCGGAGCCAACTTGAGTCTGAGTAAAACCTGAGACCCCCGGAGTGCAGAGGCAGGTGTGCTCCCGGGACAGACGGCGTCCGAAGGGCCCGCCCCGCCCCCACCCGGGACGCCTGTCGTGCTAATGATGGGTTCTTTGATGTGTAAACGTTCCTTGTCTTTGTGGTTACTTGAATTCTGTCTCGGAGCGAGACGCCACTCTTAAAAGGTTTGGCAGTATTTTAGACGAACGATACCAGTTTTTAAAGAATTACGGGGAAAATTCTCATAACCATGTCCATTTCTAACGTAACCCGCAACTGCATTAACTCAGTTTCTCACACAACCTGTTGCTGAGCTCTGCGTAACCGTGTTGGATTATTTGTGCATACAAGGTGGTGTGTAGGTTTAGGCCAACTTTATTCGAAAACGATATGCATCACTGCTGTGGAATTAGTCACTTGCATTTTCTTCATTGGGATTACCGGGACAAATCGTACTGTTACCTTCATGGCGTTTGCTGTATATTGTTATGTTGCTTTGTCAAAAAGCATTTACCGTATTGTGGCCACCAGTCATGTAAGAATATACAGATTTCATGACTAACTTTTGGATTTTGGATCCTTTTTTTTTAACCAACTTGTTAATTTAGGATTGCTTAAATTTGCATTTTATGATTCTAAAGGAAGTTCTTCTCGTTCCCTGTTGAAAAGTTAGAAACGACAGAGTGGAAACTACTGTTTTTGGAAGCCACATACACCTACCATCCAAAAATTCCACTGTGTCGGTCTAGTGTGTCATGCGAGCTTTTTATTGAGTGTCTGACATGCGGGTTGTTCAGCTAGCTGTTGGATCAGAGCTAGCTTGTGGTGAACATGTCAAACGAAGTGTTTGTCCTTGTATGTGAGTGGGGGAAGTAGCCAGTAAAAAAATAATAATTAACAGGTATTTAGTGACAATTTCTTTGTTACAAAGAAGAGGCCAAGAGTACTGAAAGGGACATCTAATTTAGACTCAATGTCTGAGATTGCTTTTCTGAGAATAAGGCATTTAAGTCTGAAGTTAGTCCAATGAAGTGGGAGTGGGTGGAAGAGAGGTGAAGTGGAAAAAGAACATTCCAGAAAGGTGGAACAGCTCATGAAAAATAGTCCAGAATTAAAAAGACTCTTGGGCGGAGCAGAAAGAGTAGAAGAGCAGAGCAAACAGTGGGGACTAGGCTGACAGATGGGTCAGGCAGGTAGGAGGAGCTGCCTCAGGGACCAGGGCCACTACAGATTTTAGAACAGGGATCAGATTTGTGGTTGCCAAAAATCCAGTACTGCAACATGACGAGTGGAATTGGGAGACGGCAGGTGGGAAGGGACGAGTGAGTGTGGGAAAACTTTTTAAACCATCGTTTAAAAAAACCTTTTAGTGACCCTTTCGTTTGTTATTATTTTGTTTCCATTAAAAAAAATAGATGGGGTCTTGCTATGTTGCCCAGGCCAGGTCTTGAACTCATGGCCTCCAACGGTCCTCCTGCCTTAGCTTCCCAAAGCGCTGGGATTACAGATGTGAGCCACTGTACCCAGCCATATATTCTTGTTGTGATCTCTGTCATGCCCCTCTCCAGAGAGAATTTCACTGAGCAGTTTACCTGTGTGTCTGTTTAGTGTCTCTGTGTGTGTGCGCATATCCCACCTCAGTGTAGGATAAAACCCTCTTCATTGTTCTGTTATTTGAAATTTGAATTTATTTATATTTTAGCTGAAATAGGTGATTGCTTTTATATTTTTATTATGAATGCTCAGAAAAGAAATGGAACTTCTCAGAATTTTTATGATCATGAAAGGATACCTTAGTGCCTGACACCATCTTGGGATATACAAGATGTTGTACATATAATTTATCTGTTTAGAAGACCTGATGAACTTCACGAATGTTTGCCCTCTTCTGTCAAATCAGTTCCTGATAAAATAGTCCAGTAAATTTAGAAATCTCCAAACCATGGCTGTGTCTTATACATAAAAGTCTTTTAAAACTTTTTGAATTAAAGTAGCCAGCTTTTTAAATTAATTTACTTTTTAATTGGCAAATAAAAATTGTGTATATTTATCATGTAACTATGTCTTGAACTTTTTATAATAAGTAGCCAGTTTTAATGATTTTTTTTTCAAATTTACTTGACCAGGACCCCTTTTTATTTTTTATTTTGTTTACTTATTTTTTGAGACAGGGTCTTGCTCTGTTGCCTGAGCTGGAATGCAGTGGCGCAATCCCAGCTCACTGCAGCTTTGACTGCCTGGGGTCAAGTGATCCTTGATCCCAGCCCCTCAAGAAGCTGGAACCACAGGCACGCACCACCACACCTGGCTAATTTTATTTTTAGTAGTGATTAGGTCTCACTCTGTTGCCCAGGCTGGTCTTGAATTCCTGGGCTCTAGCAATCCTCCCACCTGAGGCTCCCAAAATATTGGGATTGTAGGTATGAGTCACTGCACCCAGCTCAGGAGCCCTTTTTAGTAGTATTTCTACTAATGTCCACAGGACTTGACCACATAATGCCATTTGACTGACTGCTTGTTGTGGAGAATCGCGTTTTTTTTTTCCTGATGCCATCTTTTTCTCTCTGCTTTTATAGCGACAAAAATGCTGAGTTTCTTCCGTAGAACACTAGGGCGTCGGTCTATGCGTAAACATGCAGAGAAGGAACGACTCCGAGAAGCACAGCGCGCGGCCACACACATTCCTGCAGCTGGAGATTCTAAGTCCATCATCACATGTCGGGTGTCCCTTCTGGATGGTACTGATGTTAGTGTGGACTTGCCAGTAAGTAGGTCTTGCTGAGCTCCAAATTCTGTTTGCAATTACTGTCTTGTTTTATTTTTTATTTTTAAAGCTTTGATGGATAACTTCTGGGTGGAAATAGGTAGAGGTAATATGGGTTAGTATGGATCAGGTACATGTGTCAGATAACTGTAGACCAAAAGTACTTGGATGGATGGTATTTCTCTTTGGAATTAGTGGTGATTACCTGAAACATTTAAATGATAGGGCAGTTATTGGCAGGAGTCCCTTTTGTGTGTGTTTATGTGTGTTCTTTATGACGGCAGCACATAATGTAGTCTAGCGGATTTCTCGCAATCCTTGTTGAACAATTATTAAAACATTGAGAATCTTTGAGAAAAACAACACTTACATGTGTACTGTAAAGCTTTTAACTTTTTATGTACTTCTCTATTTTTTAAAACTCTCCTTATTTTCTTCAAAATAAGTACTTCCCCACGATTTGGTTTACTTGCAATGAAGTGAAGCGAGAAAAGGGACTTCCTTCATCCCCTCAGCTCTGACTCCCTGTCTCTCTGCTCCCAAAGTATTTTGCAGTGCAAGTTTTTCATACACTGTAGTCTTTATGTCAAGACAGGCTGTTGTCATTATATCTGTATTTTGGATAGGTGTTTTTTTTTTCCAGAAATGCATAATTCATAACTCAGTGTGAAAAGATCCAATATATTTGAAAGGGGTTAGCTTATTTATTTATTTATTTTTTTTACAGGTGTTTTTGGGTGGAGGAGGAGAAGAAAAAGGTTGGCTTTTTGGTTTTGGGCAGTTGAATTTTTTTCTGAGCTGCTTACTAATAGCAAATCTCTTTCCCATGTCTTTGTTCTGCATTCAAAAACTTACTGTAAATTATTTCATTTGATGTGAGCTTCATAGGGTTTTTCTTAATGCCTTTCCTCCCCACAAACTTTTTAATACACACTCATTTACTGAAAATTCAATTTAAAAAGTCTCTGGGCAAAGCGATAGCCTAGATGCTGCTGTAATACATGATTGAATAAGGCTTTTAATAGAAGGTCTTAATGAAGTGAAGTGAGAGTATAAGGAATTGGAGGTTTTATTTAAATGAATGTTTTGATTAACTTAATCATTTGGAATGTATTAGATATGTACATTATACATTTTTAAATGTTAGGATATGATAAAATTTAAGACTCAGCATTTCTCGAAGTGTTTTGAAGTCATCATTACTTGTATTTGTTATCTTTGTCAATAAGATGTGTATTTTTAGGGTTTTTGATTCTGGACAACTTGAAAGCATCTAACTTTTCCTGCTGTAAGGGCTTCTTGAGGGTTTGTCAGACATTCCAGCATGAGATATTTTGTGAGGATAGTTTTCATACTTATTTCTATTTTGATAAGAATCTTAAGAGTTTTGTGTACTATTCCATTAAAGTATCATTAGATATGCAGTGAAGGCCGGGCGCGGTGGCTCAGGCCGGGCGCGGTGGCTCAAGCCTGTAATCCCAGCACTTTGGGAGGCCGAGGCGGGTGGATCACGAGGTCAAGAGATCGAGACCATCCTGGTCAACATAGTGAAACCCCGTCTCTACTAAAAATACAAAAAATTAGCTGGGCATGGTGGCGCATGCCTGTAATCCCAGCTACTCAGGAGGCTGAGGCAGGAGAATTGCCTGAACCCAGGAGGCGGAGGTTGCGGTGAGCCGAGATCGCGCCATTGCACTCCAGCCTGGGTAACAAGAGCGAAACTCCATCTCAAAAAAAAAAAAAAAAAAAAAAAAAAAAAAAGATAATGCAGTGAAAAGCCTGAGATTGCTGTGTAAGAGACTGGAAAGAAGTTTCTTATTACCTAATGTTTGAAGTATGAAGTCTCAGGGTTGTTGATGGATAAGCTGATACTAGGAGAGTAGAATTTGTGAAAACGCTTTTTTAAAAGGCAGTACGGCATGGAGGAGAGATATAGCACTAGATTTTAAAGTAGTAGAACAAATGACTAGTTACCGGTCTAGAATGGTTTCCTAAACTTTGCATGCTTAGCTGGGTGTATGTAATTCTAGATCAAGTCCATAAGCTAGCTGGCCTCTCAGGGAGACAATTATAGTGAAACAGCTGGAGTTTTAGATTTGACTTTTTGTGAAACAAGAACAATTGTTGGCCAGGTGCGGTGGCTTACACCGTAATCACAGCACTTTGGGAAGCTGAGGCAGGCAGATCACTTGAGGCCAGGAGTTTGAGACCAGCCTGGCCAATATGGTGAAACCCTATCTCTACTAAAAATAGAAAAATTAGCTGGGCATGGTGGCATGTGCCTATAATCCCAGCTACTCAGGAGGCTGAGGGAGGAGACTCGCTTAAACCCGGGAGGCAGAGATTGCAGTGAGCTGAGATCGTGCCACAGCACTACAACCGGGTTGACAGAGCAAGACTTCTTCTCAAAAAAAAAAAAAAAAAAAAAAAAAAAAATGTGCAGGGGAGAACAATTGTCTTTTCAGACCTATAGGTGAAATTGTAGCTGTTAACCTAACTCTAGGTACATGCATGGATATAAAGAGATCCTTGGCCTATTTTACTAAATTGTCACTAAAGGAAAAATAGGCCAGAAGAATAATAATTTCTAAAAGAGAAAGAATGATTCCCCCTTTTCTGGTTTATTTTCTCAACCAGTCTACCATGATTCTAGAAGAAGATTTAGAATTGATTTTGGAAATTGAATGAAACACATACTCATTTTCCATTACGATAAAAGTCACTAGTGATTATAGCTAGCCATGTTCTTTAAAAAAAAATAAAAAATAAAAAACTAGAGTAAGAATGCCTTTCAGTGAATGACAAAAGTATCAGGTAGAAATTTCTATCTAATTTTTAAGTTTTCTCTTTGAAAATACTACAGTAAACTTGTTTAGGAGCTTAGTATTAGTAAATAGCATGTCACGTAAAACTCTTCTTTTAAATTAGAAAATGTTTAGTCAATTAACCAATAGATAATTTTTTTTTCCTTTTTTTTTTTTTTGAAGTTCTGGGATACCTGTGTAGAACATGCAGGTTTGTTACATAGGTATACACATGCCATGGTGGTTTGTTGCCCCCATCAACCTGTCATCTACATCAGATATTTCTTCTAATGGTATCCCTCCTCTAGGCCCCCAACTTCCAACAGGCCACAGTGTGTGATGTTCCCCTCCCTGTGTCCATATGTTCTTATTGTTCAATTCCCAGTTATGGGTGAGAACGTATGGTGTTTGGTTTTCTGTTCCTGTGTTAGATTGCTGAGAATGATGGTTTCCAGCTTCATCCATGTCCCAGCAAAGGAAATGAACTCATTCTTTTTCATGGCTGCATAGTATTCAGTGGTGTATATGTGCCGCATTTTGTTTATCCAGTTTGTCATTGATGGGCATTTGGGTGGGTTCCAATTCTTTGCTATTGTGAACAGTGCTGTAGTAAACTTACGAGTACATGTGTCTTTATAGTAGAATGATTCATAATCCTTTGGGTATATACTCAGTAATGGGATTGCTGAGTCATATGATATCTGCTTCTAGAACCTTGAGGAATCACCACACTGTCTTCCACAATGGTTGAACTAATTTGCACTCCCATTAACAGTGTAAAAGTGTTCTATTTCTCCACATCCTCTCCAGCATCTGTTGTTTTCTGACTTTTTAATGATCGCCTTTCTAACTGGCGTGGGATGGTATCTCATTGTGGTTTTGATTTGCATTTCTCTAATGATTAGTGATGATGAACTTTTTTTCATATAGTAGTTGGCCACATAAATGTCATCTTTTGAGAATTGTCTGTTCATATCCTTCACTCACTTTTTGATGGAGTTGTTTGTTTTTTTCTTGTAAATTTGTAGTTCCTTATAGATTCTGATATTAGCCCTTTGTCAGATGGATAGATTACAAAAATTTTCTCCCATTCTGTAGGTTGCCTGTTTACTCTGATGATAGTTTCTTTTGCTGTGCAGAAGCTGTTTAGCTTAATTAGATCCCATTTGTCAGTTTTGGCTTTTGTTGCCATTGCTTTTGGTGTTTTAGTCATGAAGTCTTTGCCCATGCCTATGTCCTGAATGGTATTGTCTAGGTTTTCTTCTAGAGTTTTTATGGTTTTAAGTCTTACATGTAAGTCTTTAATTCATCTTGAGTTAACTTTTGTATAAGGTGTAAGGAAGGGGTCTGGTTTCACTTTTCTGCATATGGCTAGTCAGTTTTCCCAGCACCATTTATTAAATAGGGAATCCTTTCCCCATTGCTTTTTTTTGGTCAGGTTTGTCAAACATCAGATGGTTGTAGATGAGTGGGGTTATTTCTGAGGCCTCTGTTCTGTTCCATTGGTCTGTATAACTGTTTTAGTACCAGTACCATGCTGTTTCGGTTACTGTAGCCTTTTAGTATAGTTTTAAGTCAGGTAGCATGATGCCTCCAGCTTTGTTTATTTTGCTTAGGATTGTCTTGGCTATGTGGGCTCTTTTTTGGTGCCATATGAAATTTAAAGGAGTTTTTTCTAATTTTGTGAAGAAAGTCAAGGGTAGCTTGATGGGGATAACGTTAAATCTATAAATTACTTTGGGCAGTGTGGCCATTTTCATAGTATTGATTCTTCCTATCCATGAGCATGAAATGTTTTTTCCATTTGTTTGTGTCCTCTCTTACTTCCCTGAGCAGTGGTTTGTAGTTCTCCTTGAAGAGGTCTTTCACATCCCTTGTGAGTTGTATTCCTAGATATTTTATTCTCTTTGTAGCAATTGTGAATGGGAGTTCACTCATGATTTGCCTGTTTGTCTGTTGTTGGTATATAGGAATGCTTGTGATTTTTGCACATTGATTTTGTATCCTGAGACTTTGCTGAAGTTGCTTATCAGCTTAAGGAGATTTTGGGCTGAGACAATGGGGTTTTCTAAATGTGTAATCATGTCATCTACAAAAAGAGACAATTTGACGTTCTCTCTTCTATTTGAATACCTTTATTTCTTTCTCTTGCCTGATTTCCCTGGCCAGAACTTTAATACTGTGTTGAATAGGAGT